CTCTAGTCATTATGTCCACCCAAACATCTATATGCACAAAAGCAGAGTATCGTTTGCCATGTATTCAACTGTGAAAGCAGAATAACAAAACTACAATAGAAAACACACATATCACTGCCTCTAGTCATTATGTCCACCCAAACATCTATATGCACAAAAGCAGAGTATCGTTTGCCATGTATTCAACTGTGAAAGCAGAATAACAAAACTACAATAGAAAACACACATATCACTGCCTCTAGTCATTATGTCCACCCAAACATCTATATGCACAAAAAGCTGAGTATCATTTACCATGTATTCAACTGTGAAAAGCAGAATAACAAAACTCACACATATCACTGCCTCTAGTCATTATGTCACCCAAACATCTATATGCAAAAAGTAGAGTATCATTTGCCATGTATTCAACTAAAAACACACATATCACTGCCTCTAGTCATTATGTCCACCCAAAACATCTATATGCACAAAAGCAGAGTATCATTTGCCATGTATTCAACTGTGAAAGCAGAATAACAAAACTACAATAGAAAACACACATATCTGCCTCTAGTCATTATGTCCACCCAAACATCTATATGCACAAAAGCAGAGTATCGTTTGCCATGTATTCAACTGTGAAAGCAGAATAACAAAACTACAATAGAAAACACACATATCACTGCCTCTAGTCATTATGTCCACCCAAACATCTATATGCACAAAAGCAGTCATTATATCGTTTGCCATGTATTCAACTGTGAAAGCAGAATAACAAAACTACAATAGAAAACACACATATCACTGCCTCTAGTCATTATGTCCACCCAAACATCTATATGCACAAAAAGCAGAGTATCGTTTGCCATGTATTCAACTGTGAAAGCAGAATAACAAAACTACAATAGAAAACACACATATCACTGCCTCTAGTCATTATGTCCACCCAAACATCTATATGCACAAAAAGCAGAGTATCAAAACTTGCCATGTATTCAACTGTGAAAGCAGAATAACAAAACTACAATAGAAAACACACATATCACTGCCTCTAGTCATTATGTCCCACCCAAACATCTATATGCATATCGTTTGCCATGTATTCAACTGTGAAAGCAGAATAACAAAACTACAATAGAAAACACACATATCACTGCCTCTAGTCATTATGTCCACCCAAACATCTATATGCAAAAAGCAGAATAGTATCTGCCTCTATTTATGTCCACCAAACATCTATATGCATTCAAAAAGCAGAATAACAAAACTACAATAGAAAACACACATATCACTGCCTCTAGTCATTATATCCCACCCAAACATCTATATGCACAAAACTGCCTCTAGTCATTATCCACCCAAACATCTATATGCACAAAAGCTGAGTGTATTCAACTGTGAAAGCAGAATAACAAAACTACAATAGAAAACACACATATCACTGCCTCTAGTCATTATGTCCACCCAAACATCTATATGCACAAAAAAGAGAGTATCAAATGTATTCAACTGTAAAGCAGAATAACAAAACTACAATAGAAAACACATATCAAATTATGTCCACCCAAACATCTATATGCACAAAAGCAGAAAAATCATTTGCCATGTATTCAACTGTGAAAGCAGAATAACAAAACTTCAACTCTAGTGTCCAAAACATCTATATGCACAAAAGCAACAAAAACTGTAAAGCAGAATAACAAAACTAAATAGAAAACACACATATCACTGCCTCTAGTCATTATGTCCACCCAAACATCTATATGCACAAAAGCCAAATTCATCAGAATAACAAAACTAATAGAAAACACATAAAGCATTATGTCCATCTATTTGAGTATCCCATGTATTCAACTGTGAAAGCAGAATAACAAAACTACAATAGAAAACACACATATCACTGCCTCTAGTCATTATGTCCACCCAAACATCTATATGCACAAAAGCTGAGTATCATTTGCCATGTATTCAACTGTGAAAGCAGAATAACAAAACTACAATAGAAAACACACATATCACTGCCTCTAGTCATTATGTCCACCCAAACATCTATATGCACAAAAGCTGAGTATCATTTGCCATGTATTCAACTGTGAAAGCAGAATAACAAAACTACAATAGAAAACACACATATCACTGCCTCTAGTCATTATGTCCACCCAAACATATATATGCACAAAAGCCGTTTACCATGTATTCAACTGTGAAAGCAGAATAACAAAACTACAATAGAAAACACAATCATCTCATTATGTCCACCCAAAATCTATATGCAGAAAGTAGAGTATCGTTTGCCATGTATTCAACTGTGAAAGCAGAATAACAAAACTACAATAGAAAACACACATATCACTGCCTCTAGTCATTATGTCCACCCAAACATCTATATGCACAAAAGTAGAGTATCATTTGCCATGTAAAGCAGAAACTCTAAAACAAAAAAGTAGAGTATCTTTGCCACAATAAAGAAAACAAAACACATATCACACATATCGCTGCCTCTAGTCATTATGTCCACCCAAACATCTATATGCACAAAAGCAGAGTATCGTTTGCCATGTATTCAACTGTGAAAGCAGAATAACAAAACTACAATAGAAAACACACATATCACTGCCTCTAGTCATTATGTCCACCCAAACATCTATATGCACAAAAGTAGAGTATCATTTACCATGTATTCAACTGTGAAAGCAGAATAACAAAACTACAATAGAAAACACACATATCACTGCCTCTAGTCATTATGTCCACAATAGAAAACCAAACATCTATCATTATGTCCAAAACATCTATATGCATATCGTTTGCCATGTATTCAACTGTGAAAGCAGAATAACAAAACTACAATAGAAAACACACATATCGCCTTTCATTATGTCCAAACATGTATATGCACAAAAGTAGAATATCATTTACCATGTATTCAACTGTGAAAGCAGAATAACAAAACTACAATAGAAAACACACATATCGCTGCCTCTAGTCATTATGTCCACCCAAACATCTATATGCACAAAAGCAGAGTATCGTTTGCCATGTATTCAACTGTGAAAGCAGAATAACAAAACTACAATAGAAAACACACATATCACTGCCTCTAGTCATTATGTCCACCCAAACATCTATATGCACAAAAGCAGAGTATCGTTTGCCATGTATTCAACTGTGAAAGCAGAATAACAAAACTACAATAGAAAACACACATATCACTGCCTCTAGTCATTATGTCCACCCAAACATCTATATGCACAAAAGCAGAGTATCGTTTGCCATGTATTCAACTGTGAAAGCAGAATAACAAAACTACAATAGAAAACACACATATCACTGCCTCTAGTCATTATGTCCACCCAAACATGTATATGCACAAAAGTAGAGTATCATTTACCATGTATTCAACTGTGAAAGCAGAATAACAAAACTACAATAGAAAACACACATTTGCCTCTGTCATTATGTCCACCCAAACATCTATATGCACAAAAGCAGAATAACAAAAAAAACAGAATAACAAAACTACAATAAAACACACATATCACTGCCTCTAGTCATTATGTCCACCCAAACATCTATATGCACAAAAGCAGAGTATCGTTTGCCATGTATTCAACTGTGAAAGCAGAATAACAAAACTACAATAGAAAACACACATATCACTGCCTCTAGTCATTATGTCCACCCAAACATCTATATGCACAAAAGCAGAGTATCGTTTGCCATGTATTCAACTGTGAAAGCAGAATAACAAAACTACAATAGAAAACACACATATCACTGCCTCTAGTCATTATGTCCACCCAAACATCTATATGCAAAAAGCAGCATTTGCCATGTATCGTTTAGAAAACACATGTATTCAACTGTTTGAAATTCAACTGTGAAAGCAGAATAACAAAACTACAATAGAAAACACACATATCACTGCCTCTAGTCATTATGTCCACCCAAACATCTATATGCACAAAAGCAGAGTATCGTTTGCCATGTATTCAACTGTGAAAGCAGAATAACAAAACTACAATAGAAAACACACATATCACTGCCTCTAGTCATTATGTCCACCCAAACATCTATATGCACAAAAGCAGAGTATCGTCTTTTTGCCATGTATTCAACTGTGAAAGCAGAATAACAAAACTACAATAGAAAACACACATATCACTGCCTCTAGTCATTATGTCCACCCAAACATCTATATGCACAAAAGCAGAGTATCGTTTGCCATGTATTCAACTGTGAAAGCAGAATAACAAAACTACAATAGAAAACACACATATCACTGCCTCTAGTCATTATGTCCACCCAAACATCTATATGCACAAAAGCAGAGTCCCCCAAATAACAAAACTCTATATCACTGCACAAAAGCAGAGTATCGTTTGCCATGTATTCAACTGTGAAAGCAGAATAACAAAACTACAATAGAAAACATCACTGCCTCTAGTCATTATGTCCACAAACATCTATATGCACAAAAGCAGAGTATCGTTTACCATGTATTCAACTGTGAAAGCAGAATAACAAAACTACAATAGAAAACACACATTATGTCCACCCAAACATCTATATGCACCTCTAGTCATTATGTCCAAAACATCTATATGCACAAAAGCAGAGTATCGTTTTGTATTCAACTGTTCAAAAGCAGAATAACAAAACTACAATAGAAAACACACATATCACTGCCTCTAGTCATTATGTCCACCCAAACATGTATATGCACAAAAGTAGAGTATCATTTACCATGTATTCAACTGTGAAAGCAGAATAACATATATCATATTTTTATTTTATGTCCAAAACATCAAAAAAAAAAAAAATGTATTCAACTGTGAAAGCAGAATAACAAATTTTTATTTAGTCATTATGTCAAAAAAAAAAAAAAAAATTAAATAGTTGGTAAAACAAATTAGTCCATCAAAGTCAGTCTGAAAAATGTCTGGCTATTTGAATATCAGAAGAATAGCCGTTGATGCTGTTGAGTGACAATTACACTATGTAAATTGATACTGAACATAAGAAAGAAAGGGAGAGGCAGAGAGATCGAGAAAAAGAGAAAGATGAAGACGGTACAAGAGTAAAAGAAAAAAAAGAGCGAGAGATAGAGAAGAGATAAAGTAACAAAGAGGGGGATAAATGAGAGACGCGGAGAGAGGGAGAGATACAGGTAGGCGGGAATAGAAATTGAAAATATAAAAAGAAATCAAGCGAGAGAGAAAAGAGTGAAAGGCAGAATAGACGGGAAGAATGGAAGAATGATAGAGAAAGAGAGAGAAATAGAGAAAGAGAGAGAGAGAGAGGGAGAGAGGGGGAGAAATAGATCGGGCGAGGTATAGAGATCGGGAATAGAGAGGGTGAGAAAAAAGAAAGATAGAAACAGAAAGGGTAAATTTATAATATGAAGAAAACAGGTAAAGAGAGAAAAGGAGAGACAGCGAGTGGAAGTGTGACTCTGTGTCGTTGCTATGGTAATTTATATTGCACTCTCGACAATCTGATTCTATCAGAAAATGGTATCTATACTTAGAGACAAAAGAAAACGCACTAAAAAAAAGGAATCACCTATCAGTCCAAATCCGTAATCTGGGATCAAGCAAATAAAGACAACCTCAACTACATTCTTTGATTAATCTATTTTAGAGCTCAAACGAAAACTATATCACGCGATCTGTCATAAAAAGCTTCGGATAATGTGACGTCAAAAAGTAAAATGGTGGCAAATCATCAAGAAAAAAACGGATTAGCTGTTAGTTTTGGCGGTAAAAGCAGCCGAAATTCTTCATCTAAATAAATAAACGTCAAATACTCTCTATCCGTCCGTGAGTCTGAATGTCTTCTAACTCGAATCACACTTACTCTGAACAGACACATACATATTTGGAATCAGGATGATCCCGGGATAGAAAATCTGTCCTTCACCTTGTGCTTGAATATTCAGCATTGGGATATGTACCTGAATGTGGGAGGAACAGTTAAAAATTCAAATTTTAAATTAACTGAAAAAGATAATCAAAAAAAAAAAAAGAAAAAAAAAAAAGAAAAAGAAAACAGTGATTTTAAAAGTTTTTAGTTTATTTTTAAAGTCACGCAAAAACATTGTGAATTAAATTTTTTTTGTTTTAATTTCAGTTTAAAATATCTCCAAAATTTTGTGAATTGAGGAAGTCAATTTTATTTCTTCCAAATGCCAAGGAATCAGATTTTTATTAAAGCCTTTCACCCCAAGCAAGGCAGGAAGCCACTAGCACGCAAGGGGTCACAGAGAGTTGAAGCAAGAGCAAAGAGGAGTGATAGAGGAAAGGATGAGGAGAAGGAAATCTGAAGACGTCGATTGACATTACATTTGAATAGTTGGAGATTATAACTATCAGGGAAACAGAAAAAGGGGAGGAAATTGCACAGGCGAGACGTGCGAGACATGAAGCTATTGGAGTAGAAGAGACGGCTACATTTAACAGTTTCGACAGTGAAAGGGTCAGAGCGAGATGCCAGCCTAGTTGAACGCTTAAATTCATGAATTCTGGGAACCAGCGAAAGCAGCTCATCGGAGCAGTTACCGTGGAAGTATTTGTAAAAGGGAGGCGACGGCGCGTCTTTGAGAGAACGACTGCAGACGAGATGCCAGATCAGGGCCAATTACATTGCATATCCGTCTCTGGATCTTATCAAGAACCCCGAGGCAAACAGAAGGGGCTCCAGACCATATATGGCAGCAATACTCCATGCAAGGGCGAATTGTTGATTTGTAGATCTGGAGGATCGACTCCGGCGAGAAAATGTTCCTGGCGCGGCACAGGGAGCCAACTTTCCTTGCGGTGGACGAAGCTATTGATTCAATCAGTTAAAGTGAGAGGTTTCGTGATGTGACATTTTGAAGCTCCGCAGTGTTTGTGATTTGAAGAACTCAACTCAATTGTCGTTCCACGGAGTTTCTGATCTGAAGAACTCAGTTTTCGACCTGAATAGGACTTTCGGCTCAAATCGGAGTTTTGGCCGGAATTGGACGTATAGATCGAATCAGAGTTAAGATTGATGTTTTGAATCTCCATGGAGTGAATCGAGGAATTCAAAATTATCATCGCTGTTTTTTTTTTAAACTGGACCAAAAGTCTCTTTAGTTTTGGGCCCGAAGCCCAATTTCCACTCCAATTAGCGCGGCTTTTAAGCTAGGTTAGGAATAAATGAATTGATCCTGTATCGAATAGCCGAAAAAGTTCGTCTTTTGTTGTCAGAGGCTTACGGCTATATCACGTTGAAAGATTGGTTCTAATACGATCACAAAAGTTAAGCAACATTGAGTCTGGTCAGTACCTAGATGAGTAACCTATTCGAATGCCAGTTGCTGGAATTCGAACATTGTATGTGCGGGGGGTAAGGGCTAAGAATTGGAAATCGAATAGCCGAGTTCAAATTCCAGTAGGGATCGTCATATACCCATACGCGCAAATGGTATGAACCCAGCTCTCTCCCCAGCTATGGGTTAAATAGTAGGACTTGTACCAGTAAATCATTATTCGCGCCAAAGAATTTTACAATCTAAAAAGATTTTCTGGTTTGAAATAATCTACAAAAGGTTGATAAATCGTAAAAAAAAACAAATCAACTTGTTATAAGATGAATTTTTATTAATTGTTTCCAATACAAGACCAAGAGCCACTCGAGGTAGATGATTACTTAATGAGATTGTTCTATGAGCGTAAGAATTACCGTTTATTAACTGTTGCTAATACAAGGCCTAAGAGCCACTCAAGGTAGAGAATGAGGTTGTTGTGTCAACGTAGGAGGAGGGATATAAGAAGTTTAGATTATGAGGAGAAAGAAAACAAAAATGAAGAGATTAAGATTAGACAATTTCTTCGCAGATGAAGAGGAGACTTGAAGCAAGAGAAACAAAGAAAAGAGTGCTGAACTGCTATGTAATATCAATCCTCCTATATGGCAGTGAATGCTGGACAATTTCCTCACAGATGAAGAGGAGACTTGAAGCAAGAGAAACAAAGAAAAGAGTGCTGAACTGCTATGTAATATCAATCCTCCTATATGGCAGTGAATGCTGGACAATTTCCTCACAGATGAAGAGGAGACTTGAAGCAAGAGAAACAAAGAAAAGAGTGCTGAACTGCTATGTAATATCAATCCTCCTATATGGCAGTGAATGCTGGACAATTTCCTCACAGATGAAGAGGAGACTTGAAGCAAGAGAAACAAAGAAAAGAGTGCTGAACTGCTATGTAATATCAATCATCCTATATGGAAGTGAATGCTGGACAATTTCCTCACAGATGAAGAGGAGACTTGAAGCAAGAGAAACAAAGAAAAGAGTTCTGAACTGCTATGTAATATCAATCTTCCTATATGGCTGTGAATACTGAACAATTTCCTCACAGATGAAGAGGAGACTTGAAGCAAGAGAAACAAAGAAAAGGGTGCTGAACTGCTATGTAATATCAATCCTGCTATAGGGCAGTGAATGCTGGACAATTTCCTCACAGATGAAGAGGAGCCTTGAAGCAAGAGAAATAAAGAAAAGAGTGATGAACTGCTATGTAATATCAATCCTCATATATGGCAGTGAATGCTGGAAAATTTCCTCACAGATGAAGAGGAGACTTGAAGCAAGAGAAACAAAGAAAAGAGTGCTGAACTGCGATGTATTATCCATGTTTCTATATGGCAGTGAATCCTGGAAATTGTTCCGCATTCACTGCTTGTGTAAATGGTTGGCAGAACAGAGATTTGTAAAGAGCGCAAAAAAACTTTACTCGCATTGGAGAAAAGTCATTTCTCCCTGGCCTCTCTCTCCTATCATAACCGTCTTACCAAAAATGTCTAGTCACCGGCGTCTCACATTAAACCAAACTCTTTTAAAACAAAAATATCGAATTCACCTCATGCAAGCCAAGAAAGCCACTAAGACACAAGGGGGTTACTGGATGTGGAAGAATTAGAAATAGAAACATTATTAAGGAGCGGGAACAATAGAAGAGTAATCAAGAGGACAGTAGATATCGATTGACATTACATTTAAATTTTTGAAGATTGAAGTTGGCTGGAAAGCATGAAGCCAGAAGAGAGTTCCACAAGCGAGAAGTACGAGAAAAGAAACTGTTAGCATAGAACTTACGGTTACATCTAGCTAACTCAACTGTAAACTGATGAGATCTTGATGCCAATCTAGTACTGCACTTAAATTCAAAAAGTCTAGGTACCATAGTGAAGACCTAATCCAAACAATTACCATTAAAGTATTTATAGAAAAGGCACAGGGAAGCAACTTTACGGCAATGGGAAAGTGATTGAAGCTGAGATGCCAGGTCGGGATCAATAATATTGCTAGTTCTTCTTTAGATTTTATTAAGAATCTCCAAATATATATCAGGAGGACGGGACCATACGTAGTAGCAATATTCTAAGGAATGACGACTAGTAGACTTAAATATGTAGGATAGATTCAGGAGAGAAAAACAGACAACCAACTTTCGTAGCAGTTGACCTAGCAATGGATTCAGTATAGTCCTACCACTTCCAGTCAGCCGAGAATATTACTCCAAGAAGGTGCTACGAGTTATTCCTTTAGAGATTAGTACCAGCTATGATATTGGATGACAGAAAGGGTTTCTCTCAGATGATTAATAGGCAGCAGTTTTCTTCTGGTGGTGTCAAAATTGTTACATTAAAATTGTCTCTCGTGTTGCGCCTGAGAATAAAATTTTGCCCTCCTGAGTCACCCCAGGAAGCAACTTTGAGGAATGTGTTTTAACGGGAAATAATAGCAGCCACATATTAATCAGACACTGGCTAACCCTGGTGGGCATAGTACGTCGAACACTCCCTTACAATATATTGTGTCAACCGTCACGAATTGCCTTATTTCCCTATCTCACGCAGTCATTTCAGGAGGGGGAGAAAATTTCAATTACGACATTCCAAAATGTATCGTATTTGACAGATTAAAAAAAAAAAAACAACGCAAGAATATTGATTTTCTAAGCGTTGCTTAGATTTGGCACAAAACCGAATGTACGGAGCACCCAATGAGGATCGAACTCACTATTCAGTCGTAACTGCTTTAGAGAGACAAGCTTGTTAACCATTACACCACGCCGAGGTACACAAAGCAACGCAAGAATATATCAGACACACTCTCAGTTCAGCAGGGTATTCAGGAAAAATTTCTACTTAATTCTAAGCAAGTCTTAAGCTAGATGTTAAATAGTAGAGCAGACAGGGCTTTTTAGCCTTGATTGGTAACCAGTCTATGAAAGAATCGTTCACTATGAGTCTATGATCTCGATTGAGTTCGGCCTTGGTTAGGTGGTTCATAATCGGTTGGTCTTTTCTCTGGAATCGATACTTAAGTATTGATAAAAACTCTTGTTTCACAAACTGGTAACGCCAACCTTCTGATCCTGCAATGTTCGGAATATTTCGTTTTTGATGCTGGTCTCTTGACGTTAAAGAATTGCATAGGCGAGACAAAAACGACAAAATGTTAATTACATTAAATATAATTGTAGACCCTACCGTACTGGTCGGAAAGGACCTGAAAATTAACGTAAAACAAAGGGCAAGGAAGGAAGCCCCCATCAGTACTGAAAAGACAATAGCTACCATACACAAGAAACCTATTTTACAGAGTCCTGGGTATGACGATAAACTACATCCTCGTCCAGGGTAAGACGATAAACTACGTCCAACAGCAAGGCCTCTTAATTGATGGTGTTCCCAAGTCCACCCTGACCGGGGGTGGTAGCACCTGTTAGGGTCCCAGCTATGGGCAAATAGTTAACCCAGAAACTGAGGTAAAAGGCATTATAAAAGTGTAGAAATAGGTTTTAATACCAGAAATACTTTGTAAAAAATTATTACCAGAAATAAATTTTTGAAGAATAAACAAAAAGTGTTACCAGTAATATGTTTTTGAAGAAAACTATTACTAGCAATACGTTTTTGAAAAAATATTACCAGCTATACGTTTTTGAAAAACTATTACCAGCTATACGTTTTTGAAAAAATATTACCAGCTGTACGTTTTTGAAAAAAATAATATTACCAGCTATACGTTTTTGAAAAAAATATTACCAGCTATACGTTTTTGAAAAACTATTACCAGCTATACATTTTTGAGGAAAAAATATTAGCAGAAATAGATTTTTGACAAAACAAAAATATACTAGAAAAACACAGTTGTCGGCATTAAATGACCCATTGAAGTTGACATGTCTTAAAACAAAACAAACCAAACCAAACCTATTTTACATAACTTTTTTTTAAGAGAAAGATTTTATAAATTTCAAGCGGCTGTAGCACTGCCTGCCCTGAAGATGAATTCAGAAGCTTTCTTTATAAGGAAACGGCTAATATTTTTCTTATGCTCCGTATCCACTCTAAGATGTGGGCGATCAAGGCTCTTCATAATTTCCTCTCCTTTGTAGCTGAGTAAATTTTCTTTCTCTCTAAATACCGGTTCTTCCAACCATTTACACAAGTTCGTTAGGTAGGTTCTGCGTTGCTTTCGGCTGTCTCTCTTGACTTCATTTGTCCTCTGAGTGCCACATTCTCCAAGCCTTCTTTCCTCATTTTGTTCCGTAGAAATTTCAACTGCGTCTTTCTCATGCTACTTATAAGTGACCTTTGTGTTTCCATCTTCCCTAAACCTTCGTCGTTGCTCACGGGTTCAGGCAATGTTATTCTCAGCATCCTCCTGTAGAACAACATTTCTGTTGCCTCAAATCTCTTCTTCATCCGTGATGAGATGGTTCAGCATTTACTGCCATATAGGAATACCAATATGTCATAACAGTTTTGTAGTCGTTTCTTTGTTTCCAGTGGCATTGCCATTACAATTAACAAAGCGCAATGAGTCACTTTATTTGCTGATGGAAGGCAGAGAGAGGGGTCTATCAGATGATTAATTGAGAGCAGTTTAGTTTTGGAGGCGTTCAAATTAACAAGCCATTTCTTGCCCCAGTTAATGACGGACTTGAGGTTGTTTTAAACATCGGCTGCCACTGTGACATTATCGAATCGATCAGACTTACTATGGAGACAGAAGTATATTTGTTGTGGTAGGATCCACCTAATTTTCATAGTGGAGTACCGACCATATAAAGAGAGGAGGGAATCAAGAGATTCAACAAGAGACTCTGGCCGACTGCGACTCAGTCAACACATTCTCCAGGAACGGTCTTCCCAGGAATATACAAAAGACTATATGTAAATATTGTGTACACTTTCTTGTTTCAATACATTTTGTTCTAAGTACATTTTGTGTTGGATTATTATTCCATGCATTAGTCAAGTTTCAACATTATTTAAAAGAATAAAATCCAGAGTGTAATTTAACATTGAGACAATAATTACACTCTCAAGAATTTTTCGTTTACCTTAGCTATTTTTTTAAAATAAGTATAATATTCTTGAGCGAACCTCTGGTTGAAATTATATCTGTGTATAACTAATGTTATATTGTTCTCCCCTAAGAAATGAACAAAATCCGACAATTATTTTAATATATTTTATTGTTATACGTTATTTATATAGACACAAATATTTAAGTAAATGCTCTGTTTTATGATAAACAGTATTAACAACATTTACCGGCCTGAATATTCGGAGAAATTATCATAGAAAATATTTGTCCTCCGACAGGAATCAAATCTGTATCCTAAAACGAAATCGTCATATAGCCTGACGTACTATACCAATTTAGCCACAGAGGAGCGTTTTCGGTTAGCAAGTTCGATTTTACTGTTTTTAAACTATAATTCTCCATGATTTTCTCTCGTACATTCATATCTGCTCGATGTGTATCCAAATGTAAACAAATGACGTCACACGTTATGAAATGGACAAAGTCCGACAATTATTTTAAGACATTTTTATGTTTATACATTCTTTATTATAGATACAAATATTTAAGTAAATCCTCTGTTTATAATAAACAGTATTAACGACATTTACCGGCCTGAATGTCCGAGAAATTTTTATAGAAAATATTTGTCCTCCGACAGGAATCGAACCTGTATCCTACACGGAACCGTCATATAGCCTGACGTGCTATACCAGTTTAGCTACAGAGGAGCGTTTTCGGTTAGCAAGGTCGATTTTACTGCTTTTAAAATTATTTTTTTTAGATACGTTTCGAGCAGATATGAACGTTCGAGGGAAATCATAGAAGATGATTAATTAATTTAATCGATTTTGATCAGGCAGTTTGACATCAGTCATTTTCTCACAGATTTTCTACAAATATTTTCATGGCAACTGCTCTGGTGAACATTTTTTTACTTAAGCCCCTACGACATGAATTTAAGCATGCTACCAGTTTGGTAACTAGATTTCACTGTTTTACTATTGAACGAGCTAGATACAACCGTTACTTCTGATGTAACAGTTTCTTTTCTCGCATTTCTCACCTGTGGGAACTTCCGTTTCCATGCTTCCTTAATAACTACAATCTTCAAAAATTTAAATGCAACGACAGTCGCCATCTTCGTTCTTCCAGAACCCTGTTCCTCTTTGTCCTTTTCTCAAGCCTTCCTACTCTCAGCCTTCTCATTCTCTTTCAATTTCACCCCCTGTAACCCCCTATATTCTCGTGGCATTGTCTCCTAGCTTGGCTTAAAACGATAAAAAAAAAGTTTACCCCCTCCCACAAAAACAAACGCACATAGACACACACACAAACGAATGTTTCGGTCGCTATGCATATAGAACTGGATAATCTACAGGGAATTCTGAACTGAACACTTTATTCAATCGACGGATATACACCGTTCTCATCTAGTTTTCATTCAGTACTGTTAAGTTATTGCTCGTTTGCTCAAGACAAGGATTTAACTCGCAACAACTATGCATCCAAATCCACAAACCAACACTTTCATCCACTAGGCCATTGTCCGCTGATTAGACTGCAAATGCTTCTGCTGCTGGCTGAAGGCTTGCTGTCATTTGTCTTGTGGAAACGGTTCCGTAATAACTGAAAATTATTAAATAAAAATAAGAACTAAATATCTCTAGACACGTGCAGTAGAACGATGACAGTCTATCCCCGTCGATTGAATAAAGGGTTCAGTTCAGAATTCCCTGTAGGTGACCCAGATCGATACACCCCTGATGAAGGCCAGGGGGCACTACGGTCGAAACGTTGTAATAACAACAACAAAGATGAGGACAGTAGATGGGGGTCACCTCAGGCGCCGAGTAATGACCATAGCCTCCTCCGGAAAGAGAGGAACTGCCTTGTGGAGATGCCCCCCCTCTTGAGGCTTGAGCTGCTATTGGAACTCTTGTGCCGTTCATTCATACCTTTTCTTGTATGACTGGGGATAGTGCCCACGTCACAACAGAATATGACACAAGGTCGAAGTTTAATGTGTGTTTTTCGGCATACCGCAACGAAATTGCTCAAGCCCGTCCCCACCTCGGAAATTTTTTGAAGAAGCCTCAAGCGCTGGGCAAAGAAGCTGTCCGCCTCCCAAAAGAGGCGTACAGCCTGGGAGATGCACCCTTGGGTCTTGAGCTAATATTATTGGTAGAAGAAGTGACCTCCCCTGCTGTTCAGTCATACTTTGTTCATACGGCTAGTATTTAGACGAAGGTCAACGACGCAAATGTAATGTGGCACACAGGCTAGATATTTTTCAGGGCCCTTACGTCTCTAGTAAATGTAACACAAGGTCAAAGTTTAAAATGGGTTTAACGTCAATACCGTCGAAAAATTGACCAAGCAACCCCCCCGGCACGTCCTTATTTGGTTAGGCTTCAGGCGCTCGACAATAAACCTAGTCTTTACTGAATAAAGACACAAGTCCAGTTTAATCAGCACCTTAAGCTGGCCTCGAGTTTTAGTTAGTTTTCCTTTAAGCAAATTTTGGGTGAGTCCATTCGACTTCCTTAGGGAAATTCAATAAGAATTTCAAATAGTTTGATCTTTTATTTCAGCGCTCTAAACATCGTCAACCTGGGTATGACAATAAACTACATCCGGTAGCAAAGCCTCTGATTCGGAGATTTTGTGGAGCTTGGAACAACATCTGAATTGCTGTTGTTCTCAGGTTCACCCTGACCCGGAGTGGTAGCACCTGTGAGCTATGGGCAAATAGTTAATCCCCGAATTGGGGTCAAAACACGATGAAAGTATAAAAATAGATTTTTAAAGTAAAAATATCAGCAGTATATTTTTGAAAAAAAAAAAAATTACCAGAAATATATTTGATTCCCGATAAAAACCCTCTTTACAAAAAAAAAAAAAAAACGTTAATGAAACCCGATATGCCATAAAAGAAAATAAACCCAAACCAAGATCTACAAATTGATTTCTTACAAAGGATATATATTCTGTTCATACGAAACTATCCTAAAAATCTTGTCAACATTAAATAACCCATTGAGGTTGGTATGCCGTAAAACAAAATCAGTCCAAACCCTGATGTACAAACTGATTTCTTACAAAAAATACATATTTTTTTTCATACGAAACTATCCTAAAAATCTTGTCGATATTAAATAACCGATTGAGGTTGATATGCCGTAAAATAAAATAAACCCAAACCCTGATGTACAAACTGATTTCTTACAAAAATACATATTTTGTTCATACGAAACTATCCTAAAAATCTTGTCGACATTAAATAACCCATTGAGGTTGATATGCCGTAAAACAAACTGAACTAAATCATCTAAACTATATATCCAGGTGTACGTGAAAACCTTCACATAAATAATTCTGAAACTGTTCAAATGGTAGGATTGGCTCTATTTAGACACTTAGCCATGAATATTTTGACGGGAAGGACCCTGGAAATATAGATTATTTTTTTTCTTACTGCTTTACATGTAATAAAATGTAATGTGTGCTTGGACAAAATATAGCCTGCTTTGGAGAGCGATCGAAAAAAAATAAAATAAATTTCTATGACCTGTGATATTTTGAAGTGACTTGTAAAACATTGGTTTTTCAACTTTTATTTTATTTTTAAACCATGCTGTCTAGCGTTTTATGTTTGTAGAGTAAGTTTCAATCGGCAAGCATTAGTTTGTACTCGCTGACTTGCTCAGACCTAGCACCTTGAGTTGCGGTATTTGATGACACCATATCAGTTGAAGGACGACCGATGACCCTGAAAGAACTAAAAGAAAATGTCGGAAAAGAAAAACGGAATGGAGGAATGATAAAAAAGAAAAAATAATGAATGAACGTATGGAAGTAAAAAGAGAGCGAAGAGAAATATATAATAATCTTTGCAGTTTCTTTATAAAGAAACATTCAGTATTCATTGGCCGAACAGACTGCTCCTTGAGTTATGCTTTACTTCACTCCCTGGCCAACGGCTGGGATCAAAGTGTAGTATCATTTTTACTAATCTCTCATGCTAAGGGTAATCTTAGCCGTTTCCTTATAAGTAAACATTCGATATTCACTGACCGAAGAGCCTGTGCTATTCGTGTTACGACTTTCTTTACTCCCTCGCAATCAGGCAGAGATAGAAGTGTAGTATCTGTTCTAGTTATCTCTAAAGGAGGCACAGTGGAGTGAAGAGGCACGGTGAGGAGTAATGGCGCGTGGCTCGGATTGAGGAATCGGAGAGCTGAGATCGAATTCCAGACGAGTTCATTACATTCACTTACGTGCTAAAACCCTTGGGAAAGGCATGAATCCAACTCTTCTGGCCTGAAGAGGCACAGTGGAGTAATGGATTGCGGCTCGGATTGAGGAATCGGAGAGACGAGTTCGAATTCCAGTCGAGTTCATTATATTCACTTAGTGCTAATATCCTTGGGAAAGGCATGAATCCAACTCTTCTGGCCTGAAGAGGCACAGTGGAGTAATGGATTGCGGCTCGGATTGAGGAATCGGAGAGCCGAGTTGAAATTCCAGTCGAGTTCATTACATTCACTTACGTGCTAATACCCTTGGGAAAGGCATGAATCCAACTGTTATTTCCCAGCTATGAGAGACTGTATTCAATAGCCTAGGTTGGAGATTAGTTTAGGAGAAGGAAAACTCGGAATTCAAACTCCGGCAGGCTACATTGCCTAAGACATACCACTTTTACTACAGCTGCAGTATACGTGGTGTTCTTATGATCTTAATGGATTACGTGGCTCATTATAGTGAATAGTAATATTAGCTGTTTCCTTATAAGGAAACATTCGACATTCATTACCGAATAGTCAGTGCAGCTTCTGTTCCGTTTTTCTTCCCTCCCTTGTCACCCGGCTGAAATCAAAGGGTAGTATCTGTTCTCCTTATCTCTAATACTAATGGTAATATTAGCTGTTTCCTTATAAGGAAACATTCTGCAGTTATTGACCGAGCAGCCAGTGTTAAGTGTATTCCGCCTTTCTTTACTCCTTGGCCATCCATCTGAAATCAAAGGGTAGTATCTGTTCTCCTTATCTCTAACACTAATGATAATATTAGCTGTTTCCTTATAAGGAAACATTTTGCACTCAATGGCCGAGCAGCCAGTGTTATTTTTGTTTTGCCATTCTTTACTCCCTGGCCATCCAAATCAAATCAAATTGTAGTATCTGTTCTCATCTCTAATGGTAACGGTAAACGTAGCCGTTTCATTATAAGGAAACATACGGTATTCATAGATGGTATTTGGTATTTATCAATCCACCCTCGGGGATCGAATGTGGGACAAGGCCTTTTTAATGTGGGTATCTCTGAGCCCGTAGGCCCAGCCAAAAATAAATAACCATCCAAACCCGCCGAGGCGAGCCAGTTCCGTCATCCTCCCCCAACGAAACCCTACCCTTCGGCGGAGCTTCGTCCGGGTTCCTCTCTGCAAGAGAGTTCGACAGACACCCGACCCGGCAGCTCACAAAGCGCAGATACTACACTTTGATCCTAGCCACCGGGTCGAGCGGGTGTTCTTTTTATAGATACGGTATTCATAGATCGAGCAGCCAGTGCTACTCTTGGTTGAAATTTATAAAATCTTTCTCTTAAAACAATTTTTTTCAAAATAGGTTGCTTAAGTTCACTATTATCGATTTTCCTAGTATCGATAGGAGTTTCCTTCCTAACTTTTTGTTTGACATAGTGTGGATCGTCAATCTTTCCATTATTTTCTCATCGAGTTACCGCTTGGGAACACCAGGTGTCTTCTATAATTTGAAATATGTTTAACTTTGTCCCATAATAGTTGGTACATTTGTATATATATTTCAAATGCTAAATGTAACAATCATTACGGGACACAGGCAAAAAAAAACAGTAAAAAGTGTAGACAAAATAATATGATATACAAACTTTGTCCCATAATAGTTAGTACATTTGCATATATATTTAAAATGCTAAATGTAACAATCATTACGGGACAGAGGTAGAAAAAAAAACAGTAAAAAGAGTAGACAAAATGATATTATATACAAACTTTGTCCCATAATAGTTGGTACATTTGCATGTATATTTCATGTGCTACATGTAACAATAATTATGGGACATAATATAAATTGAAAACTGTGCAGAAAGTAACTTTCTAAACGAATATTAACATTAAAATAATTATGGCCTCGATGTAGTTTAAAATTATCTACTTTAAAAACAACTTCAAGAAAAGACTTGATTTCACCTTAAGACACTGAAAAAAGAGTTGAGTACCCTGCTATTATATTTTAATAAACAGAATATTTAAAAACAAGGGATATTAAAAAAAAAAATAATTTAGTAAATTATTAGATGCGCGCATGCGTATAACCAACAATAAAAATAACAGACACACGGCAGCCATTTTAACAGTACAGTTAAACAATGAAGGAGAAAAAAAATCGAGAGCGAGGCGATTGGAAGGAAGAGTAAGGATGTCCTGGTTACAAAACAGTGGTTACTGTCTTTTAACATCCATTTAAAACATCAGCTAATTAGTTAATGTAGCCCATTCCTGCAAATTATAAAATCAATCTAGATTTATATGGATCGAAAGAAGAACAATCCAAGAGAGGGCTACTTGGGGCGTAGATAAAACTAGACAAAGATGTGAAGGTCAAAAACACATTCAACAAACGTGTACAAAATGATAAATAATATAAGCGTCCTTTACACGAACAGCTGTCGTTCAACGTTCAAAGACTGAAACTTCGGAAAACGCCCCGTTTATTATCTATCATCTGAGGCGAATGTCTCACAGATAATATAAATTCAAAATGGCGAATTGCTACGGGAAGAATATGCTCATATAGCTTGCGGGAGATGACAGAAGAAAGCAGTTGCAAGACAGTAATTTTTGTCTTAAGTAAAAAACAAATATTACTACTAGTTCAGTTTTATAAATGGATAGACGGTATGT